GCGTGTTTGGTTTCTCTCTTAACTCGACTAATTATAGGTGCTGTCTCTTGTATCACTGAAAGACGACAAAATTATAACTTTCTACACTCTCACGAGATTTTGTCGCCTTTTCTCGTACGTAATTTTTATTTCTAAATCCGATTTTTTATATATCTACATTTAAGAAAAATTGCACAATTGGCCGCCCCCTAAATTTGCCGCCATGGGCCGCGGCCCATGTGGCCACCCCCTTAATCCGGCCCTACATCCTCTTCCTTTTCTTTCTTCGTCTCCTTCTTCTAGTATTTTCTTCATTCTCTTCCTCTTCCCGCTCTTCTTTCTCTTTTTCTTCTTCCTTTTACTGTGTTTCTCTTTTATCCAATTTTACAAACTATATTCTATTGAATTAGGTTAGGTCTTGAAATTTATCGGAGTGACACTCCTGCTTTGCGAACATGTTACAAGGAGAAAAGGTCAAAAAACCTGAAAAATTACGTTGCGTAACACTCAAAATCTCCTGTGACTATCTGACAGAGAAAACGATAATTTCTTACTTAGAAGTTAATTCTGGTCATTTTCAATGTTTTTAATGTGTTCTACGCGAAATTTTGATGCGAAAACAGGTCCACGGTGATCAAAAGCCGTATGAGAGTCCATTTTTATCAGACGACAAAAAGTGTTACTCCGTCGATCACCCAATGTGGTTAACATTATCGTAAAAACAAACTGCCCAGATCGCTTCAGCACCGCACAATGGACCTGCTTGAAAGAACTGACATATTGGCTCGTGTGGTGTTATGGGTGTCGATTCGTCTTGCGACAGCAACAACATTTCGGGAACCCATTAAGGTATCAACTTCCTCAGGAGCCTCTTTCCGCTGCCGCCGTCGAGAAATACAAGAAAGCATATTACTGTCGTGCTGAGGAAAAACGCCGTATGAACCTTCGAGAGTTGCCAAATTTCCCGGATAAATTAAGGATATTTAAGGAGAAAGTCGCGCATATTTTTCCTTGAAATTTACAGGTATATTAGATTCAATTTTAAGCAATATTGTCCGAACAATTTGAAGAAAAATATTCACAATTATTCCAGTAAATTTGTATTTTATTGAAGGAAAATTGGCAATGTCTGATGGCTCATACGGCGTTTTTCCTTAGCACGGCAGGTTAGTGGCGTCAACTTACAATATGCTGGGGATGGTTGATGTTGTGTCGCTCGGTTTTTTTTGTGGTTGATGCGGCAGCGAACAGGCCGTGTGATGGGGACGAGGCACAAGTAGTTGCTCATGCTCGTAAAATACAAGATAAAAGGTGGACGCTGGTCAGCCGCGTTCATTACACTGAGAAATGAGACGAATTCAATGAGCTTGCTCAATATTGAGGCAAATTTAAAATCAATTTGAAGAAAAAGAGGGAGCCACCTTATCGCTTCATCGCCGGCACGGCAGAAAGGAGAAGGGACCCCACGGGGAGAGGAGGGGGGTCTATCGTTTTAAGTTGTGATCTTCGTTCCCTAGGGTTGAGGATGGTCGTTGCTAAGTTGGTGTGATGTAGCCATGGACATATGGAAGTAAGTTGCTGCTCCCCATTTAGAAACGTGAGCTTTAGATTTGACGGTATTCAACACAAGTGTCTTGGGAAACAAAAAGTCAGAGAGTTTGAGTCCATTTGCACTTGCTCCTTTTTCAGAATCCAGTTTTACCCATCAAACATTGAGAGGCGATCAGCTGATAATTTGGTTATAGGGCCAACTGTAACGGCGCTAAACACAGAGGGAGCCAACATTTGGTTACCTAATTACTTTTCCGCTTTTAACCTATTTATTTATTTATTTATTTATTTATTTTTGAGAGATTCCTATGTTTATGCTTCTTCTCGGTGTCGGATTCATGACTTTTTGTATCTAGTGCGAAATATATTCGGCGCCCCGTGGAGGAAGGTTAGAGAGACACCCCAAAGCTGAAACGAGACTTAGAGGAGAACCCAGGAAAAATTTTAGTTGAATTTAAAAAATATAAGACATAAAATCGAAAAAAAAGAATAAAAAATCGTATGTCAACACAGCCGAAAATAACAAAAATGTAATAAGGCCTCGTTTTTTTACCTATTCTCGCGAATCTGAGCAACACCTCATTGGCAGAATAGAGCGGTACATTGCGAGATCACGCTTCGCGCCTTCAATTTTGCATATGCAACACGGATATCCATCAAGCATGAATAGTTGTATCTCTACACCGTCATCAACACGGGTCCTTCCCCTCGCTATATTCCTATGTTGTGTTGGTTTCGTTTTTTTTTTTTTTTTTTTTTTTTTTTTTTTTTTTTTTTTTTTTTTTTTTTTGTGGTAGTTTAAGGGATACGTGAGCAACACATGAAGAGGAAAAATTCAATCGAGTTTCGTTTTTTAACTTTCCTCCCGAATTTGAGCACTACCTCATTGGTAGCATAGAGCGGTCCGTTGCGAGTTCACGCCTCGCGCCATCGCGCCTTCAGTTTTGTAGACGCAACACGGACTTCCATCAAGCACGAATAGTTGTATGTCAGCGCCGTTATCAACGCGTGTCGTTTCCCTCTCTCCATTCCATAATGTGTTGGTTCCGTTTGTCTCACAACGTGATGCTCCAAGGGTTACTCGAGCATCACAGCCGACACATAATTAACTAAAAAGGCATAGTATCAAATAATCATAATCGGAAAATTTAAAGTCTTTATTTCACTTCAACTTGAGATTATTGGAAACCTTTGAGTGTCTGGGAAGGCCCTCTTTCATCCCCGAGAAAATCGTAGGATTCCGTGTTTAGGCCGATTTGTCCGTTTTGTTGCAAGGTCCTTTGAATTGTGGGTGCAAGTGATTGATTTCATTCTATAAGTAATAGAGAGTTCTTTTCCTCTTGATTAAGTTGATTTAACATTTAAACATGAATCGTACTTTAAGATCTTAAAATTCTGACAAATGCACTATTTCTGTTACAATCATGTCTCTAAAATGAGATCAAAATAAATAAAAAAAACAGATAACAGTACTTTTAATTTTTTTAAAGTTCTGAAGCATGACTCTAGATTAGTGTGGTATAAAACGACGTACAATTCCGAATGAGCTCACAACTTACAACTCGATTTATGCTTGGCATACAAGACACTAACCCGAATTACTCTAAACGCTCATTTTTTTTGAACATTCCTTCGTCTCTACAGTTGTCCTTGAAGGGATGGTTTTCCTTAACTATGTGTCTAGTCTTTCTTCACTCTAGCAAGACTCACTCTCGAAGCATAGATGATGAATTATAATTCAGCGTGCTTTTTGAAGGCGGTTACGATTGGGTCCTTTTGTTCATGCGGGGCAAAAAAAAAAGTAATCCGCTATTGTGTAATACGGTAAGGAAACGACCGAGTATTGGCGAACGCATATTAATTTCCCCCTGATTACTTAGAAAAAAGCGAAAAAAATAAATTGGGAGAAACTTGTAACGGTGGATGAAATTATTAGTCGTTTTATTAGATGTTGAATTTTCCATTACATCAAGTACAAAGAGGACGATTATTTATACGAGACAATTTAATGTGGATTTCGCGGAAATACCGACCATTAATACAGTTGCAATTTGTACCAACCAACCGAATAATTAGCTGTTTTATTCAGCTTTTAGCGACTCATTTTAACAAAAAACTGAGCTGTGCGAAATTACCTTCTGGCCGGAAATACCGTTATCAGAGAGTTGGCATGAATATCTTATTAAAGCCATTCCGTCGATCCTTAGCGCTTGCCGAGTCTAAGTGCGAGATTTTACGGATTGAATTTACCGACCTTTGTGATTGATTACCTATCCCAGAAGGTAACCTTATTGAAGGGTTTTAATGATTATGGGTTTCATAAACGAATGTCTTGAAGTAACTCAATCTTGTTACGTCGGAGAAACGGCAAGATGAGTAAAAAAAAAGATGACTGGAACACTTAAATGAAAATTTCCCATTGATAACTTTCATCATATTTTCCAAATTGTTTGTCATTATTCCCTTCGATTCTTCCCTTCATTTTGACTTTTTGCACTGTCCAAGCTCAGGTCAGTAGACTAAATCCGATGGGTCTGCTAAATTTTGCGCAGCAGTCACAGTTAATTAAAGTGGATTTTACTCATCTCTGTTTTTACTGGGGGAAAAAAAAAAAAAAAAAAAAAAAAACGGTCGCAAAAAAAAAAAAAAAAAAAAAAAACAATTGGATCTAAGAGTCCAGACTCTTAAGAACATCGACAAGAAAAATTACTCTTGATTCAATCAGAATCTAGCTTTAATCAAGAACCAAGCATCTTAATTTAAGCGGATTTCGTTTTGATTCAAGCAAAAATTCGATTGAAT